TGTTTGTCAGTCCCAGTAAAGTGTGTGACATCAATTGTTTACAAATATAGACGAATGTTTGTCAGTCCCAGTGAAATGTGTGACATCAATTGTTTACACATATAGTTGTCAGTCCGTGTAAAATGTGGGACATCAATTGTTTACAGATATAGACGAATGTTTGTCAGTCCCAATAAAATGTGTGACATCAATTGTTTACAGATATAGACGATTGTTTGTCAGTCCCAGTAAAGTGTGTGACATCAATTGTTTACAGATATAGACGAATGTTTGTCAGTCCCAGTAAAATGTGTGACATCAATTGTTTGCAGATATAGACGAATGCGAACAGGACAACGGTGGCTGTAACGTAACGTGTGAGAACACGCTGGGTTCTTTTCACTGCGCATGCCCATACCCGGGCTTCCTGCTCAACAACGACAGTATCTCCTGCGACGGTAAGATTACCTAGCATGGGGTCGGTTATAATGTCTTTTAGTCGAGTAAGCTGTAATTATTTACATTTTGTAGGGTAAATCAAGAGTTTCCAAAAACTATAAGAGAAAGTAGTTAAGAAAGATAAGTAGAGTTTATCAATTGTGTAGATTAGATTTTTGTTCGTCTAGATCTTCACTTGAATATGGATTCTATTCTGGTTCAATTAAAGTGATTCTCTACTAGCATGCGAGGTTAATCCTGTATCAGAATATGCCGCCTCGAGTTGTAAATTGTCAAGCTGTCAGCACAAACAATAAGATAACAGTCTCATCGGTCACAAAAATACTCTACCAAGTAATAATGGTTAATTGTTTTAATCAATATCCGCCAGTTTAGTAGTTTATCATGAATTTCAGTTAACGACGTAAATCTTTCATGTATATGTTTTCAATGTGGAGTCTCCATTTGTAGCATAAATATTCACCTTCATGCTTTTTGTCGACTACAAAGTTATCGTTTTCATTATTGAAATCTATGTCAATGACATAATCAAGTTCAAAATTGGAGACAGCTTATATTCGGTTTGGCAGCTTTAACAATCATTAAAATGCAGATAAAGGAAACATGCATAAGTCGGTACACACAGTCAAACAAGGTAGATATTGATTGCACCATGTGGCGTATTTATCTATTTAGAAATCATAAGAGGTACTAAATACTAGAGGAATGAAATAAAAGTCTGAAGTGTTCAGAAATACAATATGTAAAAATGATAGAAATAAAGGAATTGACTATTTAAAGAATTAGTGTATGTAAACTCAGCCCGAAAATATGGATTTTAAAGAGCGAAAAGGAAATTTTGATTTATTCTGAGTACCATTTCTTAAAAAATGTTTGTTTTAGGGGAACATCAAACTTTTCCACTATTTTTACCTCAATACATCATGGCAAACGGAAGAAGCGCCTTGATTCACTTGTTATAACAGCTTTCTTTTCCTACAAGGATGATATAAAATAGTACATGGTTGTTATTTTTGAGCATATTAAATGAATATCACGACAACGGCCAAGATAGGATATAACGAAGATACAATCGGGAGAATTATTGAGATTATTGTTGTCAATATCATTGTGGGGTTGGGCAGCAAAATTTTCCAGCACACTGTTGGCATATTCATGAATAAAATAACTGTATTTTCTCTCGGCTGGCTTATTTGTGTTTTAGAGAAAAGGCGAGAATAAATGAAGACCTTATATTCTACTGGTAACATAACCTTCTCAAATCTTGCAACACCTTTTAAAGATATTCATTGTTATGTGTTAACTTTATATATACATTGAACAGATCCATCGTAAAGTCCATCCCGAATACAACAAACAGTACACTGCAGACTATTCTACATCAGCCGCGTGCCTCTATCTTTACTCTCCAAAAGGAACGGTTAAAAACTAATTTGTAAAATAACCGATTGTAAAATACCTCTCATCCCTGCCGAATAGTGTATACGTGTCGCAGTTAGTTCGGTCCTGCCGCTCCCATCAATAGTGTATACGTGTCGCAGTAAGTTCGGTCCTACCGCTCCCACCAATAGTGTATCCGTTTCGCAGTTAGTTCGACCCACCAATAATGTATACGTGTCGCAGTTAGTTCGTCCCACCGACAGTGTATACGTGTCGCAGTTAGTTCGTCCCAACGACAGTGTATACGTGTCGCAGTTATTTCGGCCCTGCCGCTCCCACCAATAGTGTATACTTGTCGCAGTTAGTTCGACCTACCAATAGTGTATACGTGTCGCAGTTAGTTGGACTCACCAATAGTGTATACGTGTCGCAGGTAGTTCGACCTACCAATAGCGTATACGTGTCACAGTTAGTTCGTCCCACCGACAGTGTATACGTGTCGCAGTTAGTTCGGTCCTGCCGCTCCCACCAATAGTGTATACGTGTCGCAGTTAGTTCGACTCACCAATAGTGTATACGTGTCGCAGTTAGTTCGACCTACCAATAGCGTATACGTGTCGCAGTTAGTTCGTCCCACCGACAGTGTATACGTGTCGCAGTTAGTTCGGTCCTGCCGCTCCCACCAATAGTGTATACGTGTTGCAGTTAGTTCGACCCACCAATAGTGTATACGTTTCGCAGTTAGTTCGACCTTCCAATAGTGTATACGTGTCGCAGTTAGTTCGTCCCACCAATAGTGTATACGTGTCGCAGTTAGTTCGGTCCTTCCGCTCCCACCAATAGTGTATACTTGTCGCAGTTAGTTCGGTTTGTATGGTCTTGCTTCCAATGTCACGATTTCCTTTATTGGTGTCGTCTGCTGACAAACTTACAAAACAAGGTTTCGAGAGATGCCGAGTGATGAAGAATAATGCTAGATTGTATTGTCACCATCGAGATCACATAGCGAACAATTCTAATTTCTTGTTCTATGTGAAGGTCGATGTTTGTAATTATGATTATAAGAGTGGAAGTTATGTCGTTAATGCTACCCGGTTCTTAATTTGATGACATAACATTATTCGGATTTGACAGATTTACATGAGGTCGTCGATGAGATCCATGAACATCCAGGAAGAAGAAAATAAGCGCTTATTATTCTGGAACACCTGGTCTTATTCTCCCTGTAATTTGCTAATGGTCTTCATGTAAAAATTTCCTTCATTCTTATTTTGCCCTTAATATGTTCGTCGATTTTGAGTTCGAATTATTGCTTGCTCACACCTCAGTCACCTCTTTGTTTCTATCATATCTCTATGTTAGTCTGAATCTTTGTGTTGCCATGCAATTCTGTATCCTGTAACTTTGTGTTTTTACAGACGTGGATGAGTGCCTGATGAATGACAACTACAACTGTAGTCACTTGTGTCACAACACAGAAGGTGGAGCAGAATGTAGTTGTTACCCGGGCTACATCCTCTTATCTGACAACCACACCTGTGAAGGTAAGTACATAAACATTGGTCAGGTAAATCATATACACTTACCTGTAGAGGTACATTTGTAGGTACACTGAACACTTAGCAGGTAAAGCATATCAACATTTATTACCCCTTTGAGAAAAATCTAGGAATCTGATTGGTTACAAACTACAGTGTACCAAACCGCATTCGTAAATCTCAGGGGGTATACGAAAATATCAGGGGGTATACGGTCATGTCACGTGATTCTCGGCAGTAAACGGTGGAATCACGTGGTTTTACAAGGGGGTATACGGGTCACGTGTCTTTGTATCTTGCGGCCGGGCAACGGGAGACAACTCGCATTCGTCGTTTGCTTCCGGCCCTGTTTACAAAATGGCAAAACATTTCGCTTCGCATACTGATGAGGAAATACTCGCCAAAAGGGCTAACTATGTGACACAAAACACACAAAAGTCGAACAGACGAGCGGCAAACATGCTGAGGACGTATTTAAAAGAAAAGAATCAGGAAGAACAGTTCGAGGAATTTGATAAAGCGAAACTAAATGAGGTAGATCTACTGTGCCATTTTTATCTTGACAACAGAAAAGTTGACGGGGAACTGGGTACAAAGCCAATATAAAAGACTCAAAGGGGTAATAAATTCGTTACACGGATTTTTGGCAGGGTTTCTGACTGGCACAGGCAATGAAAAACGCTCCAGGGTTTTCAGGATTACGTATTTCCTACAGGATCTACAGGATTTCGTATTTCCTTCGGCCTATCGGCCTCAGGAAATACGAAACCCTTTAGGGTCATACCATCCCGTATACCCTGCCAAAAATCCGTGTAACTAATATTATCACATAATCGGCCAGTGAATTCGCCCGTGTAATATGTTTACATATGTCACTAGTGTAATATACCATGGAGCGTTTTTCATTGGCTGTGCCAGTCAGAAATCGATTGTGACGTCATAATATGGACAATGACGTGACGTCATAAATTGTGAATGGCGCAACAAAATGGCTGTCTCCGTTTAACCTGTCAAAATGTAAGTTTTCTGAGTTATGTGATAAAAAGTATCAAAAAAGTGTTTTCATTTCATATGAGCTTTTATGAAACTCGTCTCGAAGTTTTAATTTTTGCTCGACAAGGCTCGAAAAAATAAAAACTCCTAAGACTCGTTTCATTAAATCTCATATGAAATGAAAACTTATTTTAGATCCTATATATATGTGACGGTACGTGCACAAGTCAGAAGTGTTTCATATACTTAATGTATTGTACTTCAATGCTTATTGACCATTCCAAAGATATTGCCAATTAAATAATATATATTTTAGTATGAACATACATGAATAGGTGTCTTTCCTTTATGACTATAATGCTAATAACGAAATACATTTATTTAACGCAGATTTGTTTTTATCATAAAAACGTACTTTGAATACCAAATTGGAATCGAATTTGTAGTTTGTTTTCTATCCCTGACAGATACGAACGAGTGTGCTAACTCGTCCGTGTCTATGTGTGAGGACCTGTGTATAAACACCAATGGTTCATTCTACTGTGACTGTGAGGGGTCAGCACTGAAGCTCTCATGGGACCGGAAGTCATGCTCAGGTACGTGTCGCCGTAACAATAGTAGATGGACTGAAGGTCTCCTTGGACCGGGATTCATGATCAGGTACGTGTCGCCCTAACAATAGTAGAGTGAGTGAAAGTCTCCTGGAAGACATTCTCAATTATGTGTAATCCGTGCATGTAAGGGCTGAGTCCCCTAGGACTGGATGTCGCGCCCAGGTGTATCCGTGTCTACATAATGTAAATAAGACCAATTTTCTGGGACACAAGTACTGACCAGGTATGTACAGCCTTGCCGGTATGACTGAAATCTCCCGGTATCAGAAACCGTACGTAGATATATGTTCGAGGACAAAAAACACGTTCAGATATGCGTAGTCAGCATTGTTGGAATAGGGTATCTGGCAAGGCACGTCAACCCTGACACAGAAAATTATTGAATGGTCCTTGAGTTGATGCTGGTCGGAGCTGGAAGTCATTACGGGTACATAAAACGGAATCATTCGCGGAAGATATATATTTATCTTGCTTTTAACATGAAAGATGTTTGATTGTTTTAGGGAGAAAGACACTTATTTTATTGGTTGTGGACAATTCATCGACTGTTTAGAAACAGACTCTGATTTGATTGGTTGTTGATTGATAAAAACGAGTTTATGGAGAGAACGAGCTACAGGTTCGATTGGTTGCTGATAAATCTACAATGTGGGGACAGAAAGAACCCTGATTTGATTGGTTTTTGTCATGCATGGAGAGAGAAATTACTGATTTGATTGGTTGACATATTAACGAGTGTATACTGGGAGAGAGAACACTGATTTGATTGGTTGACATATTAACGAGTGTATACTGGGAAAGATAACACTGATTTGATTGGTTGACATATTAACGAGTGTATACTGGGAGAGAGAACACTGATTTGATTGTTTGTTGACAGATATAAACGAGTGCATACTGGGAGAGAGAACACTGATTTGATTGTTTGTTGACAGATATTAACGAGTGTATACTGGGAGAGAGAACACTGATTTGATTGTTTGTTGACAGATATAAACGAGTGTATACTGGGAGAGAGAACACTGATTTGATTGGTTGTTGACAGATATAAACGAGTGTATACTGGTAGAGAGAACACTGATTTGATTGGTTGACATATTAACGAGTGTATACTGGGAGAGAGAACACTGAGTTGATTGTTTGTTGACAGATATAAACGAGTGTATACTGGGAGAGAGAACACTGAGTTGATTGTTTGTTGACAGATATAAACGAGTGTATACTGGGAGAGAGAACACTGATTTGATTGTTTGTTGACAGATATAAACGAGTGTATGGAGGGAGTGAACCACTGTGAGGATTTGTGTGTGAACACACACGGGTCCTACTACTGTGACTGTAACACCACGGGCTTCGTACTGGCAGCGGATCAGCGGACCTGTGAAGGTAAGATGTGATTACCTCCACCCTCCTCGCTAACCGTACCTCAATAGAGCATGAACAATGTTGTCAAAGGCGATTTATTGGTTAGATATTGCCCTCTATCAAGATAAATAAAAGTGTTCTTTAGTTTAAACTTTATTTTATTCAAGTATTTTAATTGATATATAAACAATATTATGCAAATTGAAACAAGACAGTATGATACAAAATAGGAAATAGAAACAAGTGTCTTAGATACGTAAGTAAATCGAACACCTTAATCGTAATCTGTAAATGTATTCGGAATATACAGCATATTGTTAACAATTCCGTAACATACAATAACACAATCAATGACAACAGTTTAAACAATGGGAAGGAAAGGGAGGGAAAGAAGGTTGTTAAACAAGGGGAAGTAAAGAGAGGGCGAGAAGGGTGTAAAACAACGGGAAGGAAAGGGAGGGAAAGAAGGGTGTTAAGCAAGGGGAAGTAAAGAGAGGGCGAGAAGGGTGTAAAACAAGGGGAAGGAAAAAGAGGGCGAGAAGGGTGTAAAACAAGGGGTAGGAAAGGGAGGGAAAGAAGGGTGTTAAACAAGGGGAAGGAAAGGGAGGGAAAGAAGGGTGGCAAACAAGGGGAAGGAAAGGGAGAGAAAGAAGGGTGTTAAACAAGGGGAAGGAAAGGGAAGGAAAGAAGGGTGTTAAACAAGGGGAAGTAAAGAGAGGGAAAGAAGGGTGTTAAACAAGGGGAAGTAAAGAGAGGGCGAGAAGGGTGTAAAACAAGGGAAAGGAAAGGGAGGGAAAGAAGGGTGTTAAACAAGGGGAAGGAAAGGGAGAGAAAGAAGGTTGTTAAACAAGGGGAAGGAAAGGGAGGGAAAGAAGGGTGTAAAACAAGGGGAAGGAAAGGGAGGGAAAGAAGGGTGTTAAACAAGGGGAAGGAAAAAGAGGGCGAGAAGGCTGTAAAACAAGGGGAAGGAAAGGGAGGGAAAGGAGGGTGTCGGTTGTTAAGGGGTTTTATATGTTGTTATATAAATACACCTCAGCTTCAAGTACATCACACGTGTATATGAAACATTATGTTGTAAGAGAAATATTTGATCTCATGTAGTCTTGTACAGCTAGAATAAGAATCTTATTTCAAAGATCGCATTATATTGATTTTAAATGAGGCCTCAGCAATAATATAATTAATGTGATTTAACCAATAACCATCTCCAGAACAAACCAACCAGGTGCTTGTAGGACTATAATCATTTATAGTGCTATTTAATACCCCACCTCACCCCCATACTCTCCCTTCCCTCGGTGTTACCGAATAAGAATAGAACTCTGCAATCGGTCCATTTTCTTCCGTAATTCGCTAATGCATATATGGGAAATGGCAGAATGGTCTTCCTGTAATATTAATTCTTAATATTGGATCCGTGAATGGAAAATTACCTATATAACTCGAACCATTGAAAAATATGCCATGGTCGTTTGCCGTAAAATAATTCAGCATTCACAAGACACTTTTAACCGATACTTTCTTTTGAAGGGAACTGGTTGATCCTGAATTAAACGTACAGATTTGTAATAAAAAGAAATCCTTACTGATGGGGGACTATGGATCAGATCAGATCTATCATGACGAATTACATGTATATTGACTTTATTTGAAATTGCCTAGATCTGGACAAATGGTATTGAGTGTATAATCGCCGTGTCTTAGATCTGGACAAATATTACTGAATATTTAATCGACGCGTCTTAGATCTGGACAAATATTACTGAATATCTAATCGCCGTGTCTTAGATCTGGACAAATATTACTGAGTATTTAATCGCCGTGTCTTAGATCTGGACAAATAGTACTGAATATTTAATCACCGTGTCTTAGATCTGGACAAATATTACTGAAGATTTAATCGCCGCGTCTTAGATCTGGACAAATATTACTGAATATCTAATCGCCGTGTCTTAGATCTGGACAAATATTACTGAAGATTTAATCGCCGCGTCTTAGATCTGGACAAATATTACTGAATATCTAATCGCCGTGTCTTAGATCTGGACAAATATTACTGAGTATTTAATCGCCGTGTCTTAGATCTGGACAAATAGTACTGAATATTTAATCGCCGTGTCTTAGATCAGGACAAATATTACTGAATATTTAATCGCCGTGTCTAGATCTGGACAAATATTTCTGAATATTTAATCACCGTGCCTTAGATCTGGACAAATATTACTGAATATTTAATCGCCGCGTCTTAGATCTGGACAAATATTACTGAATATTTAATCGCCGTGTCTAAGATCTGGACAAATATTACTGAATATTTAATCGCCGTCTCTTAGATCTGGACAAATGTTACTGAATATTTAATCGCCGTGTCTTAGATCTGGACAAATATTACTGAATATTTAATCGCCGTGTCTTAGATCTGGACAAATATTTCTGAATATTTAATCACCGTGTCTTAGATCTGGACAAATATTACTGAATATTTAATCGCCGTGTCTTAGATCTGGACAAATATTACTGAATATTTAATCGCCGTGTCTTAGATCTGGACAAATGTTACTGAATATTTAATCGACATGTCTTAGATGTGGACAAATGTTACTGAATATTTAATCGCCATGTCTTAGATCTGGACGAATGCTACTGAATATTTAATCGCCATGCCTTAGATCTGGACGAATGTTACTGAATATTTAATCGCCATGCCTTAGATCTGGACGAATGTTACTGAATATTGAATCGCCATGTCTTCGATCTGGACGAATGTTATTGAATATTAAATCGCCATTTCTTAGATCTGGACGAATGTTATTGAGTATTTAATCGCCATGTCTTAAATCTGGACAAATATTACTGAATATGTAATCGCCATGTCTTAGATCTGGACAAATGTTATTGAATAATAAATCACCATTTCTAAGATCTGGACGAATGTTATAGAATATTTAATCGCCATGTCTTAGATCTGGACGAATGTTATTGAACAATTAATCGCCATGTCTTAGATCTGGACAAATATTACTGAATATGTAATCGCCATGTCTTAGATCTGGACAAATGTTATTGAATAATAAATCACCATTTCTAAGATCTGGACGAATGTTATAGAATATTTAATCGCCATGTCTTAGATCTGGACGAATGTTATTGAACAATTAATCGCCATGTCTTAGATCTGGACAAATATTACTGAATATGTAATCGCCATGTCTTAGATCTGGACAAATGTTATTGAATAATAAATCACCATTTCTAAGATCTGGACGAATGTTATAGAATATTTAATCGCCATGTCTTAGATCTGGACAAATGTTATTGAATATTGAATCGCCATGTCTAAGATCTGGACGAATGATACTGAATATTGAATCGCCATGTCTTCGATCTGGACGAATGCTATTGAATATTAAATCTTCATTTCTTAGATCTGGACGAATGTTATTGAGTATTTAATCGCCATGTCTTAGATCTGGACAAATATTACTGAATATTTAATCGCGATGTCTTAGATCTGGACAAATATTGCTGAATATTTAATCGCGATGTCTTAGATCTGGACAAACGTTATTGAATATTCAATAGCCAGGTCTTAGATCTGGACGAATGTTATTGAATATTTAATCGCCATGTCTTAGATCTGGACAAATGTTATTGAATATGTAATCGCCATGTCTTAGATCTGGACGAATGTTATCGAATGTCTTAGATCTGGACGAATGTTATTGAATATTAAATCGCCATGTCTTAGATCTTGACGAATGTTATTGAATATTTAATCACCATTTGTTAGATCTGGACGAATGCTACTGAATATTTAATCGCCATGTCTTAGATCTGGACGAATGTTGTTGAATATTGAATCGCCATGTCTTAGATCTTGACAAATGTATTGAATATTTAATCGCCATGTCTTAGATCTGGACAAATGTTATTGAATATTTAATCGCCATGTCTTAGATCTGGACGAATGTTATTGAATGTCTTAGATCTTGACGAATGTTTTTGAATATTTAATCGCCATGTCTTAGATCTGGACGAATGTCTATCCAATACCACCCACAAGTGTGACCACATATGCATCAACCGGCCGCAGGGCTACGACTGCTTCTGTTACCAGGGTCACGTCAAGGAAGGCCTGTATGGATGTCGGGGTAAGTATGTTTAATTTTAGTCTGCATAACAAAATAAACAATTCATGTATTTCCCATGGATTATCAACACTGATAGCTACATATCAAAACATGATGATGAGCTTAATACACTAAGGTAATAGGTTAAGCTAATCAAACGCTATCAACTAGACATTATGATTATAATGCATACCAGGTTTTAAAGAGATCGGTCGAAAAATGTAGGTTAGATGTCTCAATCGGCCACTATCAGTTACCCTCATCATTGATAACGACAACGTTTCAAAAGTTGTCTGAAGTGGGACATGGTTTATATAATTTCCAAGTTTGTTCTTTTTCGTTTGTAAAACAATTATCAGCACGATATTGTCGTTACATTCCACGGCTAAAATCTGACAAGTAGCATATTCATTATCGCGTGACAAGGTCAGGTGCGTTAATTTGTTGGCTTATTTAAAAGGATACTTAAAAAAAAAAAAAAAAAAAAACATATTCTATTGTTAAAAAGTATCTAAATGTATATCATTTTGTGAGTGTTTTCTGTCTCTATACACAGGATGTGAAATCGGTCAGTACCACAACAACGAGACTGACCAGTGTGTTGATTGTCCGAAAATGTCCACCACAAACGGAACTGGCAAAACTAACGTCACGGACTGTATCTGTATACCAGGCTATACTGAGGATACAACTGGAGAGGAGTATTGTAGGGGTACGTATATCTATAACAGGTTATACTGAAGATACAACTGGAGAGGAGTATTGTAGGGGTACGTATATCTATAACAGGTTATTCTGAAGATACAACTGGAGAGGAGTATTGTAGGGGTACGTATATCTATAACAGGTTATTCTGAAGATACAACTGGAGAGGAGTATTGTAGAGGTAGATATATCTATAACAGGCTATACTGCGCATACAATGGAAAGGAGTATTGTAGAGGTACGTATATATATAACAGTCTATACTGAAGATACAACTGGAGAGGAGTATTGTGAGGTACGTATATATATAACAGGCTATACTGAAGATACAACTGGAGAGGAGTATTGTAGAGGTAGATATATCTATAACAGGCTATACTGCGGATACAATGGAAAGGAGTATTGTAGAGGTACGTATATATATAACAGGCTATGCTGAGGATACAACTGGAGAGCCCCCTTGTAGAGGTACGTATCTTTACAACAGGCTATACTGAAGATAAAACTGGACAGGAGTATTGAAGAGGTAGATATATATAACAGGCTATACTCAAGATACAACTGGAGAGGAGTATCGTAGAGGTACGTATCTTTACAACAGGTTATACTGAAGATACAACTAGAGAGGAGAATTGTAGAGGAACGTATCTTTACAACAGGCTATACTGAAGATAAAACTGGACAGGAGTATTGAAGAGGTAGATATATATAACAGGCTATACTCAAGATACAACTGGAGAGGAGTATCGTAGAGGTACGTATCTTTACAACAGGCTATACTGAAGATGCAACTGGAGAGGAGTATTGTAGAGGAACGAATCTTTACAACAGGCTATACTGAAGATGCAACTGGAGAGGAGTATTGTATAGGTACTTATCTTTACAACAGTCTATTCTGAAGATACAACTGGACAGGAGCATTGTAGAGGTAGATATATCTATAAGAGGCTATACTGCGGATACAACTGGAAAGGAGGATTGTAGAGGTACGTATCTTTACAACAGGCTATACTGAAGATGCAACTGGAGAGGAGTATTGTGAGGTACGTATCTCTATAACAAGCTATACTGCGGATACAATGGAAAGGAGTATGGTAGAGGGACGTATATATATAACAGGCTAAACTGAAGATACAACCGGAGAGGAGTATTGTAGAGGTTGGTATATCTATAACAGGCTATTCTGAAGATACAACTGGAGAAGAGTATTGTAGAGGTAGGTATATCTATAATAGGCTATACTGAAGATACACCTGGAGAGGAGTATTGTAGCGGTACGTATCTCTATAACAGGCTATACTGCGGATACAACTGGAAAGGAGTATTGTAGAGGTACGTATATATATAACAGGCTATACTGAGGATACAACTGGAGAGGAGTATTGTAGAGGTACGTATCTTTACAACAGGCTATACTGAAGATACAACTGGACAGGAGTATTGTAGAGGTAGATATATATAACAGGCTATACTGAAGATACAACTGGAGAGGAGTATTGTGAGGTACGTATATCTAGTACGTATCTCTACAACAGGCTATAGATACAACTGGCGAGGAGAATTGTAGAGGTACTTATCTTTACAACAGGCTATACTGAAGATACAACTGGACAGGAGTATTGTAGATGTAGATATATATAACAGGCTATACTGAAGATACAACTGGAGAGGTGTATTGTAGAGGTACGTATATATATAACAGGCTATGCTGAGGATACAACTGGAGAGGAGTATTGTAGAGGAACGAATCTTTACAACAGGCTATACTGAAGATACAACTGGAGAGGACTATTGTAGAGGTACGTATCTTTACAACAGGCTATACTGAAGATACAACTGGAGAGGTGTATTGTAGAGGTACGTATCTCTATAACAGGCTATACTGTAGAGGTACGTATCTCTATAACAGGCTATACTGAAGATACAACTGGAGAGGGGTATTGTAGAGGTAGATATATCTATAACAGGCTATACTGAAGATCCAACTGGAGAGGAGTATTGTAGAGGTACGTATCTCTATAACAGGCTATACTGAAAATACAACTGGAGAGGTGTATTGTAGAGGTACGTATATATATAACAGGCTATACTGAGGATACAACTGGAGAGGAGTATTGTAGAGGTACGTATCTCTATAACAGGCTATACTGAAAATACAACTGGAGAGGTGTATTGTAGAGGTACGTATATATATAACAGGCTATACTGTAGAGTTACGTATCTCTATAACAGGCTATACTGAATAAACAACTGGAGAGGAGGTTATACTGAAGATACAACTGGAGAGGAGTATTGTGAGGTACGTATCTCTATAACAGGCTATACTGAAGATACAACTGGAGAGGTGTATTGTAGAGGTACGTATCTCTATAACAGGCTATACTGTAGAGGTACGTATCTCTATAACAGGCTATACTGTAGAGGTACGTATCTCTATAACAGGCTATACTGTAGAGGTACGTATCTCTATAACAGGCTATACTGAAAATACAACTGGAGAGGTGTATTGTAGAGGTACGTATATATATAACAGGCTATACTGAGGATACAACTGGAGAGGAGTATTGTAGAGGGACGTATATATATAACAGGCTATACTGAAGATACAACTGGTGAGGAGTATTGTAGAGGTACGTATCTTTACAACAGGCTATACTGAAGATACAACTGGACAGGAGCATTGTAGAGGTAGATATATATAACAGGCTATACTGAAGATACAACTGGTGAGGAGTATTGTAGAGGTACGTATCTTTACAACAGGCTATACTGTAGAGGTACGTATCTCTACAACAGGCTATACTGTAGAGGTACGTATCTCTACAACAGGCTATTCTGTAGAGGTACGTATCTCTACAACAAGCTATACTGAAGATACAGGTAGATATATATATAACAGGCTATACTGAAGATACAACTGGAGAGGGGTATTGTAGAGGTAGATATATCTATAACAGGCTATACTGTAGATACAACTGGAGAGGAGGATTGTGAGGTACGTATATATATAACAGGCTATACTGAATATACAACTGGAGAGGAGTATTGTAGAGGTACGTATATATATAACAGGCTATACTGAGGATACAACTGGAGAGGAGTATTGTAGAGGGACGTATCTTTACAACAGGCTATACTGAAGATACAACTGGAGAGGAGTATTGTAGAGGTAGATATATCTATAACAGGCTATACTGAATAAACAACTGGAGAGGAGTATTGTAGAGGTACGTATATATATAACAGGCTATACTGTAGAGGTACGTATCTCTATAACAGGCTATACTGAATAAACAACTGGAGAGGAGTATTGTAGAGGTACGTATCTCTACAACAGGCTATAGATACAACTGGAGAGGAGTATTGTAGAGGTACTTATCTTTACAACAGGCTATACTGAAGATACAACTGGAGAGGAGCATTGTAGAGGGACGTATATATATAACAGGCTATACTGAAGATACAACTGGAGAGGTGTATTGTAGAGGTACGTATCTCTATAACAGGGTATACTGAAGATACAACTGGAGAGGAGTATTTTGAGGTACGTATCTCTATAACAGGCTATACTGAAAATACAACTGGAGAGGGGTATTGTAGAGGTACGTATCTCTATAACAGGCTATACTGAAAATACAACTGGAGAGGTGTATTGTAGAGGTACGTATATATATAACAGGCTATACTGAAGATACAACTGGAGAGGAGAATTGTAGAGGTAGATATATCTATAACAGGCTATGCTGAAGATACAACTGGAGAGGAGTATTGTAGAGGGACGTATCTTTACAACAGGCTATACTGAAGATACAACTGGAGAGGTGTATTGTAGAGGTAGATATATCTATAACAGGCTATACTGAAGATACACCTGGAGAGGAGTATTGTAGAGGTAGATATATCTATAACAGGCTATGCTGAAGATACAACTGGAGAGGAGTATTGTAGAGGTAGATATATATATAACAGGCTATACTGAAGATACAACTGGTGAGGAGTATTGTAGAGGTACGTATCTTTACAACAGGCTATACTGAAGATACAACTGGAGAGGAGCATTGTAGAGGGACGTATATATATAACAGGCTATACTGAAGATACAACTGGTGAGGAGTATTGTAGAGGTACTTATCTTTACAACAGGCTATCCTGAAGATACAACTGGAGAGGAGTATTGTAGAGGTAGATATATCTATAACAGGCTATACTGAAGATACAACTGGAGAGGAGAATTGTAGAGGTAGATATATCTATAACAGGCTATGCTGAAGATACAACTGGAGAGGAGTATTGTAGAGGTATGTATCTCTATAACAGGCTATACTGCGGATACTACTGGAGAGGAGTATTGTAGAGGTATGAATCTCTACAACAGGCTATACTGAAGATACAACTGGAGCGGAGAATTGTGAGGTACGTATCTCTATAACAGGCTATACTGAAGATACAACTGGAGAGGAGTATTGTAGAGGTACGTATCTCTACAACAGGCTATTCTGTAGAGGTACGTATCTCTACAACAGGCTATTCTGTAGATACAACTGGAGAGGAATATTGTAGAGGTGCGTATCTCTATAACAGGCTATACTGAAGATACAACTGGTGATGAGTATTGTAGAGGTATGCATGTTCCCTAACAACAGTTTTACTGTTTGTTTGTCGTAATATAGCAGGTACACGTATTTTTCGTCATTGATGGCTTAATGGGCATATATATTTTTATCTTTGTTTGCAAAGATTTTCGGTTAGCAAGTACTTCTTACGTCGAAATTAAACGAAGACGTTAAAATGTTGAATCCTCTATTGGGAGATATAGTGTTGCTGTAGCTGATCAAAAATTGGCATGGACCCCATCCCCTGTAATGTTTTGTGTTTTGTGTTTTGTGGGGGTTTTTTCTGTTTCAGTTTATTTGTTTTTTCTCTTGTGTGTTTGATGTCATAGGTTTATATATATTGTTTTTGCATCAGTGTCTCGGTGTATGTCTTTATGTATGTACATGACATTGGCAATTTTTTGCTTAATATCTGCTTACGTGTTAATAATAATATCTTACATGATGATGATGATGATGTCTGATGATGATGATGATGATGATCTTTGTTTAAATTGTATGAACAATCATGTACTGAGGAACAATGTCATATATGTTTTGTCTTGTCTTGTAAAAAAAAAAAAAAAAAAAAAAAAAAAAAAAAAAAAATACTTCTTACGTCGAAATTAAACGAAGACGTTTAAATGTTGAATCCTCTATTGGGAGATATAGTGTTGCTGTAGCTGATCAAAAATTGGCATGGACGCTAAGATGGTGTTGGACACCATTGTGAATTGTCCTGGTAATGCAACGTCCTTCCTGTAACTGTGTCACGAGCTTATTCCAACATACAAACATCATAGAAAAAATAGTTACAACACTGTTGCTTGGTTCCTGTTTTGGTTGAATTGAAATAACTAATAATGTAAGCACTTGACCGTGGTCCTTTTCTACAGCGGTAACTGGTCGGTTTCTTCGTTTTTAGATATCGACGAATGTGAGGAGGGTGAGGAGGAGAACTTTGGCTGTGATCAGATCTGCGTGAATGTTTTAGGGTCAGCCTACTGCGCGTGCCAAAAAGGTTTCACTCTGCACAAAAACAAGAAGAATTGTACAGGTAATAAAATAGTCAGGTAAATGAATGTATACCATCCCAAAATACTAACACATCATACTCAATAGACATTTCATGCTCGTCCAGTAATCATATCATCGTGTTATAAGTTTGACAGTGTTCGTAAACCCAATGTGTTATAAACATATTGTGATACTATACCTTGCACAACTATATACACAGTAATGTATTTGCTCATTTGTATACCAAAGTGGTCGGACTATAACAACTATATACACAGGAATGTATTTGCTCATTTGTATACCAAAGTGGACGGACTATAACAACTATATACAGTAATGTATTTGCTCATTTGTATACCAAAGTGGTCGGACTATAACAACTATATACACAGTAATGTATTTGCTCATTTGTATACCAAAGTGGTCGGACTATAACAACTATACAAAAGAAAACACCTTTTTGTATTTCGCCGTGTATTCTTGAAGTCGTCTCATTGGTTCATTGAACAATCACTGCTTGTGTTATTTCATTTGATACACATAAAACGTAAACTGACCAAGTCTTGGTGAAAATATATAATATGAGAGTTTATTCCACAGACATAGACGAGTGCCTGTACAGTAACCACTACTGTGCTGAGATATGTATCAACCTGGAGGGATCCTATAGATGTGCCTGTAGGAAAGGATTCAAGCTACACTGGGACAACAAATACTGTACAGGTACCTACCTATTTACCTGTTCTAAATACTGTACAGGTACCGTACCTATTTACCTGTTCTAAATACTGTACAGGTACCTACCTATTTACCTGTTCTAAATACTGTACAGGTACCTACCTATTTACCTGTTCTAAATACTGTACAGGTACCT